CCGAGCTCATAATTTTCCTGGGTTTCGATGGGTTGTTCAACATCACGTCAACCTTGAGTGAATGTTAGCTCATTCTGGGATGGTAAAACCATCAACGTTTTGACACTAACGTGCATTCGTGCAAAAATACGAATTAATTGTAGAAACATTGACGAAGGAACCGTCGAAACTTTTCAAATCTTCAACTGAAGGATGAGATAAACATCAAATTTCAAAATGTAGGCACAACATACTTTATCACCGATTTCCACTGGTCTCGATAGGCAGTAGGCACAAAGGGAGGGAAAGGTTTTTAGAAGTTGCTCTTTATCGCCCTTTACAGCATCACATGGCGCCACTTTTACAGCGCCATATAGGACGATCAGATATCCCCTGAAAGCAATGGCTCCGGTCTTGGTGATGGGTGAAGCAAACAAGCCAACGCGACCGAGATGCCAAGGCTGCCTCTGCAACAAATATATCCTCCCCTTCCACCCCACCCCGACCAGGTCGGGGAACTTGGAATTCACTATTGCCTGGCTCCAAAACTAAGAGGGAAAAATTGAATCAAAAAAATTTAAGATTTGCGATAACAAAGTAGAGAGCTCTCGACTGTTTTGTGGATTCGGCTCTCGAGACAAATCGATTAACGGATTTCTTAAATATCCTTCACTTCCATGTTTCAGTAAGTACCAAGTTGAACTCATCCATGTGTGGTACGTAATAGAGAGAATCGCTTCAATTAAGAAAAATTATATACATGAAAACACATCATCACATTCTCATCGTCCAGTCAAAACTTGGGTGTAATTTGTCTTCTTTGGCTGCTCATGGCCTAATGGATCTGGATCTGCATAGGTGGACCTTCGCTTTGTCCTTGAAAAATAAACTGCATTAGTAATAGCCACGCAACCATTCTCTCTCGATTCCAGACGTACAAATTAGATTCACGGTCTCGTGACGCTCACAGTCGGGAATGAGTAACGCGAGGAGCAGGAGAAAGGCTGGACTCCGTTGTTTCTTTGGCGTCTTCGAAGGGGGCCATCCTTGGGTTCTGGTTAAGGTCATTTATTCTTCTTGCTCAGCCCGAATTTCCCAATCATGTGTGATGAAAATGTCCCTACACTTCATGTCACTCACCCTCCAGACTCCAATCGTACAAAAGTTCGATATAGCAAGAGAATTCCATTAAAACAGTGAGCAAAAAATGTGGTATTAAATCGACAGCAATTATTACATATAAAGAAATTACTCATATTTAGGGTAGGAGATGGAGCAGTAACGATTCCAGAGCTAGCCGAAGCCTTTTATACTTACTTGGAAGAAAAAAAAATCTCTAAATGGGTGATTGGGAGTATTGAGCCGATACTGGCCAGAATTCCCAATGTTGAAAATTCGTAATCACTAAAAGCAATCATGTCGAGCAAGAAAAGAGTCCCTAAAATTCCTCTACAGTAATTAAACGAGAAAGTATTACAAGGCTGTATTTAAAAAAAACTGACAAATTAGAATACACTACTAAAACCTCACTGGCGATTCGACGTCACAAAATCGGAACTGAAAAGCGACCCACCGGCAACTGTGCGCCAGCTATTTTCACCCCTTTTCCTCGGAAACTAACATAACTTCCGCTAGACTTCTCTGAGGAACTGTAAGAGGAAGAGGAACTGTAACGTTGGAAGCCAAGCTTCTCTTGGATGCTTAAGAACTTGGCTTTTTTCAGTCTGTCCTTCATATCCATATGAGTAAATGTAGTTTGACGCGTGTGCATCGAGCTCTTTTAGACATCCGGAATCAACGGATTGAATCATGAGAAATTCAGCTTTCCGAGAGACTTCGACGAAATGTCAAGGGTGATCGATGGAGAATATGGCAAAAAAAGGACGGATGACTTTCAACCCGTGTATCTCTTTTCCATCTGAATTGTTTTCACGAACTTTCGCTGTGCATAAATGGATGTTCCCAACATTTCTTCTATACGTATATTATGCTTGGGCGTCTGTATTTCCGCAAGCACCATGTGCAGCACTGTCCACCTGGCTCCGGGTGTCTATCTCGCTCTCTTGAGCGAGCACTTTTTTTCCGGAGACTGTGGCACTAGCATCGCGACCACAGGCCGGCTTCGATAATAGGCCAATCACAATCGACTCCAGCTGCGACCAATCGCAAGCACCCAAAGTGACGTCACTACTACCGCCATGGCATTCTTCAATGCTGTGGCTGTCGGATATTTCTCGGGGACGTGGAAAGGGGAGGGGAGGGGAAGGTGGGGGAAGAGTTCGGATGGCATACGAGGACGAAAGAAAACGATGGAGTGTGCGTGAATCGAACCCATGCCATGAGGCCGACCCGAAGGTCGTGGAAGTCTTCCACGTGTCGGCTAGTCAAAATGTATCCCTGTTCTTTGTTCATAAGCAAAGCTCCGATCAATGAGCGAAAAGAAGTTGGAAAATGGAAATGAAGCTCACGCTAGTTATAAAGCGAAGATCGCCTGAGTGCTTCTGCTTCCAAATCATCCAGGCCACATCGAACGTCCCTTTTTTTGCCGGTCTTTTCTTGCAGATTCATCCGGCTAAAGCTCATTGAAACCATGACATGTAAATGAATGCGTATTGAAACAGAGATCGCTCAAAGTCCATTCAGATTTTACCGAAGGAAAAGTCCCTATCCGAAACTTTCTCATGGCCTTTGTTAGAGAACGAGGCAGGAAGATGAGGCGCTCAGAAGGGATTCCAGTCCTCCAGACCGTTTTCGATTCCCGATTTCTTTTGAATAATTGCTCTTCCCCCTCACTAAGGCATTATCAAATGAATGATCAGTTGCAAGAGTCTGCTAGGAACATATCCATTTATACACGTGCACGTTTCGTGAATACCGTTTCCGTGAAAGCAGAGACATACAAGTTAAAAGTCGTCGATCTTCTTTGCCATACCCGTTATATGGAGCGAATCCGCGACGGGAATCTTCTTGGGACCTTCTGGATATCCACAATAGAACATGCAGCGTACAGAAGTACCAGAAATACCAGGACGGCAGAGTCGGCTTCTGCCCATTGCAGAAACATTTGCATCGGCATTTATAGATACTTTAGATATATGCCGACTTGGCTCGGCTTCGGCTGACAAGCTAATATCTCGTGTTGACATGGCCATGCCGAGCGAACGGTGAGAGTCGGATATGGGTTCATGGTTCATGCGATGATAAGCTTATCACCTTTATGTCGATTTATAGTACTCAGCGGTGGATACTGAAAATATTCATGGGGGGGAAGGGTGGCTCCGATTGGAGACCGGCAAAATAGGCGTACTGAGCGAGTAAAAATACTATTAAATACTGATATTATGATAGAAGCAGAGACTAGCAAGGGAAAATCCTCCTTAACCGCTCATAGAACTTTCTGGTAAGTCTACACAAGAACAAATGTATGAAACATAAGAAGCATTTTGGGATGGTTACTGAATTAATGGTGGTCCAGTGACATGACGCTGAACCTTTAGGTATTACTACTGTTGCACTGTATAATGGCCAAATATTGGTCTAACATTGGTCTAACAGACTGCATTCTTGGTCCTGCGTTGGATCAATATTGGGTCCAATATACTTTGCGACTAGGGTACGGAACAGACCACTCTCGAAGCGGATTCCCTTTTTTTACCTTAGGATAGTATCATGTTGGAAATTTTGGTAAAATCTGGCATGTTACTCTAAGTTGTGATCGTGAATAACATCTGAGCAGTCCAAGAAGGACAAGGGAAGAAAGGAATCCCAGGTCGAATGCAATTTTTAAATGGAGAGAGGTTTAAAACAACCGCTGTCATGAGGATCAACGGTGAAACTTTACTATTTCCCGATGCTAGGTCGTGAGTATCACCGTGGCAGCCAATTTGTTAATGGCCAATTGCGAAAACGCTCAACTACGACCCATAGAAATTTTTAACTGGCAAGAGAAGAATGATGCATGGTGATGATTTGGTCAGAAAATGCTCTTCTGGGGATAAAAAGTTTGGTTTATGAACTTCTCCATCATCGCTCCATTGAAAATAATATTGGTATTAGGGTCGTTGGAGAGGTAGTCCTAAAGCAAAATTAATATCGTGTTCAACATTGAAAGATGATTTAATTCAGCATATTGCGTTTTAAAACTTTTTTATTATTGACAAGCAAGTCGTGCGGTTTTCAGCAGCAACTGTGACTGTTGGCGCCTTTCATGCAACTGTCACTTCTTGATTGCATCGTTCCTAGATCTAGTCTATCATTATCTGTTTCTTCAATACCCAAAATATTGGATCCGCGAGCTAAAGTAGATCTTTATGAGAGAGGAACATTCTTCACCGCTTCAAATGCAGGTGAGATATAATTCAGAGATCTGAATTTCAAGGAAGATTTAAAATGACGACAAAAAAAAAACTTGTTATTCTTTACCAAAGGAAATCTTCGGAATCCTTCCAATTATTGCCCAATCCCACCCCTCCGAGTCCTTAGAAAATTACTCCAAGATTATATGGACACTAACTGGAAGAACTGCGTTGACCATTAAAACATACTTCAAAATTCCCAGTCATTCCTCCACTACCGCTGGAATCAAACTTGCAGTCCAAATTTTGTAAATGCAGGATGCAGACGCAGTCGCTTCCGTACAAGGACTGCAAGAAGGCGTCCGACACCGGAAACCGCGAGGTATCAAACTCTGTCATCTGCACATGAGCACTTTCCGAGAAAGCGCAAAGCACTTGGAACCACTCCCTCGGAGACTCCAAAACTGAATCAGTCCATGGGATGGCGTTGGAGGCTGGACACCTGCCCTGCTCCCTCTATGGATCCTCTATCGTCTGTTTTAGCCCTCCTATTTTTGGATAGGCCGAGTTGCTTTCGACGAAGAATTTGCACTCTGTAAGTACGAACTCGATTCGAACGAGTGCGAAGTGAACTCGAAAAGTAATGAAGTAGATTCGAACTTCCATTCGATCGCCATCTTGCATTCATTCATTGCTCCTGTGAGTAACTCCCAGGCAGGTGCTCCTTCCTTCGAGTGTGTCGCTGCCCGTTCGACACATCTAATGATACGGATAAGAGAAGCGTGTTTTATCGGGTGTCTCAGACAGTTCATTGCAGCACTGCATGTGTCGTTTCCGTCCTTCCATCCATCTCCTATTCGCAGGTGAGTATGTTTTCATTCTCTTTCCTTCCATCCTTCCCACTTCGTCCTATCAAGCCAGATAAGGGACTTGTATCGGTCTCCGTTTCTTCCTTCTTCTCTGGCCACACTATCGCCTTTCCCCTTTCGCCTGGCCGAAAAACGGGGAACCGTCTGGAAAGTCCGATGGTGATGGCGCTCGATGCCTTCTCTGGAGCACGATGAGCCCTGTTCCATATCCTTTCACAGTGACTCATACCCGTTTACTCAATCATGAGTTAGAAACTCGTATAGAGAGACCAATAACTCAAGATGAGGACAGTCACGAAATAAGTGAAGAATTGTCTGGAATGGAAGGACGATATGCTAATTTTACCAAAGTTTCACGTGTTTGTAAAAGTTCTATCGTCTACAGGGATTAGCAGGAGATAAATTCCTGCAAGGGTAGAGTTCTCCATCTGGTATGAACAAAAACTCAATTGTTATGGATTTTTTGCAGCCCAATGAAATTAGGGGAAAGCTAGGCTCCTCATAATATGGGCTTCGTGAAAAATTCCAAAATAGGGCAAAATTCCCTTTCCATATGTAGGGTAATTTGGGTTATATGGCCCGAAAAATGAAACCTGGTCTTCACGGTCCATCAAAGTCTAATTTGACTTATACAGTGTTTCGGCGTTTTAGCTTTTGTACAAGGGAAATTTACCTGCATTCGAATTTCGTGCGGCCAAAATCGCTGGAGCATTCGTAACGGCTGTCCAAGAGGAGGCGGTACATGGCGATATCCTCATGCACCGCCTCCACATACACTGCACATTTCGTCCAGATGTCCAGTTCATCTATCCGCATATCCAGAGGATGTGCATACGACGGCCTTTTACTGCCTGAGGTCTCACTCGAAAGGAAGTTGACACTGTCAATAGGTCAGTGCGTTGGTACCATCAAATCAAATGTGTCCATATTACACCAAAAACGAGATGGCCATGTTCCCCCGTATTGGCTAGCAGGAAAAAATTGACAATACTGCCTGCAAACCGCAATTGAAGGCTGGAATGACCACACTTGAACAAATGGTTTCTGTATCCATGCTGCTATTAGAAACTATACGCTCAGGTTACACAAGGCTCATGTTAGTTTCAGGGCCATAAGTTGAACGATCCCATGCATATAACTGGAACTGGAACAAAATGGTCGCTACTGTTGTGTTACAAATAGTTCTACGTGAAAGAAATATTCCGAGAGGGAACTCTTCTAGGTTAACATAACGGTTTCTCACCCTCCCCTTACTCAAAAAAAAAGACTTCAAACTGGTATTGCTGTTTTTTATTTAGGGGTACTGCATGAAGGAAAAATTTTTGCTAAGAAGCCCAAGGGGGGCAGTCGCCTTCCGTTACTTATATCGTCGAGCGCCGAAACCGCGAATGTTTCCCGTTGCACGAAGTTTGCCCAGTCAAAAAATCAACTATTGTTCGTTGCAGAGGACGGGTAGATGGTCTGTCTTGCAAATCAGGCTCCACGCGTTGTTTCATGTTGTGCATAACTCGAGGATATCTCAAAATCCCGCTCTAACGAAAATTTACATTGACCTCTTCAAGCATGGAAATCGTCGATGTCTCCACTCACTGGATTCATCAAGATGGAAATGGAGGAATCTCATTGTAGTCCTTTTTCTCGCAGCATGAAATCAGAGCGATGTGACTGGGAAATCAGGGATAACGACGTACATGGTACGTTGTTATGTCTGATGCAAGTAAGGGCCTGATGACTGTTAATCTGGCTCTATAGATAGGCATTTTATGTCTCAGGCCATCATAGATCATAGCTATGGCATGCGGAATGTAGATATATGAACTCATGAAATAATTCAGATCCGGACAACGTTTCTCGTTATTTATTGCATTTATATGATGCGAATAGTCGAAGCGAAGCAAATTCAATCTTCTGCTAAATATATGCATGAATGTATGTATGTAAGGCCTCATCTCGATTTTTTGTTGGTTCCGTTCAGCGCACGAGTCTGTGGGACACCATCGCCAGCGTTTTCGGAAGAGACAGTCCTTAAAATCCCATAAATTCAAAAAACCTCACAAAAGTGTGGCGAGCCGGAAAGAAAACAGACCATGGGATTAGAACGCTCCAAGAGGATACAACGTAACCTCAATGCCAACAGTTCGGGCAGTTTGTATGAAGTGCTGATTGAACCCGGAATAGGCCACACGTGCACATCCGAATCGCCGAGAGACTTTCTCTTGCGTTGGACCTTCTTGGAGCATTCTTATCGCCCGGTCTCTTTCTTCCTGCGTTAGCCTTGGCATATCTCTCGCGTTTTTGGTAGACGGTACGGTACTATGTAATCAACGCAATTGTTACTTATCGAAATCCGGAATTCACATATGGCATTGAGAAAACTAAAATAAGCATATTTCTGACAAGGCACGCTTACAGTACTCAAAGATTGGCGATTACACGCTAATAATAATGAGACGGTGNCGAATTTCGTGCGGCCAAAATCGCTGGAGCATTCGTAACGGCTGTCCAAGAGGAGGCGGTACATGGCGATATCCTCATGCACCGCCTCCACATACACTGCACATTTCGTCCAGATGTCCAGTTCATCCATCCGCATATCCAGAGGATGTGCATACGACGGCCTTTTACTGCCTGAGGTCTCACTCGAAAGGAAGTTGACACTGTCAATAGGTCAGTGCGTTGGTACCATCAAATCAAATGTGTCACACCAAAAACGAGATGGCCATATTCCCCCGTATTGGCTAGCAGGAAAAAAATTGACAATACTGCTTGCAAACCGCAATTGAAGGCTGGAATGACCACACTTGAACAAATGGTTTCTGTATCCATGCTGCTATTAGAAACTATACGCTCAGGTTACACATGGCTCATGTTAGTTTCAGGGCCATAAGTTGAACGATCCCATGCATATAACTGGAACTGGAACAAAATGGTCGCTACTGTTGTGTTACAAATGGTTCTACGTGAAAGAAATATTCCGGGAGGGAACTCTTCTAGGTTAACATAACGGTTTCTCACCCTCCCCTTACTAAAAAAAAAAAGACTTCAAACTGGTATTGCTGTTTTTTATTTAGGGGTACTGCATGAAGGAAAAATTTTTGCTAGGAAGCCCAAGGGGGGCAGTCGCCTTCCGTTACTTATATCGTCGAGCGCCGAAACCGCGAATGTTTCCCGTTGCACGAAGTTTGCCCAGTCAAAAAATCAACTATTGTTCGCTGCAGAGGACGGGAAGATGGTCTGTCTTGCAAATCAGGCTCCACGCGTTGTCTCATGTTGTGCATAACTCGAGGATATCTCAAAATCCCGCTCTAACGAAAATGTACATTGACCTCTTCAAGCATGGATATCGTCGATGTCTCCACTCACTGGATTCATCAAGATGGAAATGGAGGAATCTCATTGTAGTCCTTTTTCTCGCAGCATGAAATCAGAGCGATGTGACTGGGAAATCAGAGATAACGACGTACATGGTACGTTGTTATGTCTGATGCAAGTAAGGGCCTGATGACTGTTAATCTGGCTCTTTAGATAGGCATTTTATGTCTCAGGCCATCATAGATCATAGCTATGGCATGCGGAATGTAGATATATGAACTCATGAAATAATTCAGATCCGGACAACGTTTCTCGTTATTTATTGCATTTATATGATGCGAATAGTCGAAGCGAAGCAAATTCAATCTTCTGCTAAATATATGCATGAATGTATGTATGTAAGGCCTCATCTCGATTTTTTGTTGGTTCCGTTCAGCGCACGAGTCTGTGGGACACCATCGCCAGCGTTTTCGGAAGAGACAGTCCTTAAAATCCCATAAATTCAAAAAACCTCACAAAAGTGTGGCGAGCCGGAAAGAAAACAGACCATGGGATTAGAACGCTCCAAGAGGATACAACGTAACCTCAATGCCAACAGTTCGGGCAGTTTGTATGAAGTGCTGATTGAACCCGGAATAGGCCACACGTGCACATCCGAATCGCCGAGAGACTTTCTCTTGCGTTGGACCTTCTTGGAGCATTCTTATCGCCCGGTCTCTTTCTTCCTGCGTTAGCCTTGGCATATCTCTCGCGTTTTTGGTAGACGGTACGGTACTATGTAATCAACGCAATTGTTACTTATCGAAATCTGGAATTCACATATGGCATTGAGAAAACTAAAATAAGCATGTTCCTGACGAGGCACGCTTACAGCACTCAAAGATTGGCGATTACACGCTAATAATAATGAGACGGTGTTGACTCGTTCACCAAGGCCAGATATGAAGCCATCTCCAACTGCGTGGGTGAGCCCTACATTATCTTGTAACGTCTTGTTTGAACGCTACTATACGAGAAGAAGCCTCCCTTTCTCTTGTTCAGCTCCAGCAACAGCGATAGACAGACATTCAAATTTGGATTCACGCCAGACTAAAATCTCTTGATGCAAATTTTTATGAATATGTGAATGTCCTCAGAGAGACATAAATAATATTAATACAATTACATTTCCGATGGCTTCATACGGACCATCACAGATGACTAACTCCTAATCTCATTATGCAATACAGTATGACTTAAAAACTGCATTTTTTACATTTTGATCGCAAGTACATGTGAAACGAGCTGAACCTTGAAGTGCTTGAACACGACTCCACCGCTCCCATCCGATGCCTTGCCTTGCACCTTCCAGCCATCCATCCAAAGAGGGTATGCAGTGTTGGGCGATCGCGCTCATCATTCCTGGTTTCTTCACCGTCGTCGAGGCGAATGCGAGGAATCGTCGATCCTGGGGAGTGGGAGAGCTGGCGTGTGAGTCGTCACGGAGAATCGGAAAGGGGTTTTAACTGATGACAGGAACCTCTTGATTGAGGGGAAAGCAATGAAATCGAACCTAGATTACTTGCTCTAAGATTGGAATTTTAAGTCTTTTTCTTACTGAAAAAATTTCGGTTTCCGAAGTTTCTTTTTCTTTCATGACATCACTTACAAACTCTATAATTTGATATGCACATGTTTGAAATAATACTACAAGTAAAATTATTTCGGAATGATTGGCAGGGATGCAGCCGGAAGGAGGAATTTTGGGGAAAGTTGGACAATACATTTTCGAAAGCGGGGAAGACATCAAGCTCTTCTGCACTTTGACGGAAGCTGGGTTATCCGAAGGACTCTTTACGTCTGACCTCAGATTCGAGACACCCTCTAATGACGTCGTAAAACCAAACTTTTGGTTGAATGACAAGACAGTGTCTTTACTCATTGCTAATGCAACCACGGGAGATTCCGGTCGGTACGAATGCGGGAATGTTTCCAACGATGAGAACGTTGCCTTGTTTGACACCGTAACCTTAGAAATTGGCTGTGAGTACATTTCATTTTCAACGGTTTCTTATGCTTGGGTAACAACTAAGGTCATATGATGATTGACAGATCCGCGGTTGAAATCTTGGCGTTGTTGGTCGATGCAGCTGGAACTACTCCATTGCAACTGGTCGAGAACGGATAATCTCTTTGAGACGAAATACACTTTCTACATCCAGACCGATGGGTAGCTGCATTCCACACGCCCGATTAACTAATCATGCACTTCTGAATGCTGTGATCCAAACGAAATTGATTTGATGAAAGGACGAAGATGACAGAATGCCGGCAGGAGGACCCTGCTCAAGAAGAATGCGAGGCGAGGAAAGGCCAGACTCCTCCTTATCGTCCCGGTGAGACAGAAATGAACATCAAAGTGAAAGCCCGGAATGTGCTCGGGAATCGAACTTTCACTTATCCCTTCGATCACTACCGGAACAGTGAGTCAGGATCCTTCTGCAACCAAAAAGATTTCGCTTTCCTAAGAAGTGGAGGACGTACAGCAGAAGCTGAGCTCATTTGTTTTGTTTTTTTTAGCACTGAATAATTTAAGTGTGTTGCCGAATGCCTTTACGCTATTTTTATTTCTACCTCCTTCGGTGAAATTTGCTGCATCTCATGAGGGAAAAAAGTATTAGAATTGAATCCTAAGCATTTCTACAAACAAACAGTAGCAGAGTATATTTGCTAAATTTAATTCCCATGTTAGGTGAATATTATTCTTACGTTGAGCCAATATTAGTCCAACGTTGGGCAAGTATGGTGCATATTCTGTTACCGGCGTCTCTAGAAATACAGGATATTCATTTAATGTCAAAATCTCAATTACAGTGTTCTGTGCATTTTCATCTTCATGCTGAAGGTGCCGCCTCATAAGCCTCATAAGTCAAGGACATATTTGTGAGCTTTTCTTGTCATGCCAACCTACCAATGGCTGCCTTGAAGTATACGGCCCCGAATGCTGAAACCTCCTTCAGTTAACGGTCCTTTAAGAATGCATGGGCTCCTATGGGAGAGAAAGAGTTATTTGGCTTAAAGGTCCCCATTTATATAGTTTGTGCATTTGGACCTTTTTCTTCCCCGCTCCTGAGCCGAAGAGCTCCATTTCATGAATATGCACCCGATTCGAGCTTGTTTAGTTCACGCTGCATCTTGCTCAAGTAAGACTGAAATCCTTCTTTGATTCATTCTTTTAGTTTTACGGAGTATGAAAATAAATTTGCAGATTTCTTAGGAAGGCCTTCCGTTTCCTGATTCCAGGGAAAGGCGAAGCTTCCGTTCTCACTTTTGTGTGACTTTTTCTTTAGATCAATCAGAAGTTCGGTCGATATTACGCAAAAGAGGAAATTACTCATTCATATGGTCGTTGCTGGATTATTGGAATTATTGTATTATTGTAATTTTCGTTAATATCACCGACAAGGTGAAAAAAGCAGGCTATTCAGCGACTGCAACATGAGTTAATGGTGGTAAAAATGGATTGTGACTAAGTTCATATGATCATCATCCTGTTACAGCCTAATGTTCATTCGATTCCACAAATGTAGTTAAGATCGAGGCATTGGAGAATGTTGCCGTGAAGACAGTGGACGCGGAGACGCTGAACGTCACCTGGGATCTCCCGGCTGGTTTACATCGCTTCAACGTCCCTGTTCTCCATAACATCCAATTGGTACCTCAACAATCGGCAGAAGAGCTCAATTCCTCTAATGTACGTCAACTTGACCAAATCTCTGGTCCTGTAGTGATGTGAGCAGGGGACGAACCGATCCATTCCTTCCATCGAAATATAGAACGTGGGAAAGGACGAATAAGTACGCTCCTCCTTGCTCACGTCACTCCAGCCTGTCATGACTCATGACACGCATTCATATATATACAGGGTGTCCCAAAAGTCAGTTGTCATACTCGAAATATACTGTATTAAGGAAACGAAAAAAAATTCACTGTCAGTTGGAATTCATAGAACATGCTCCTATTTTTTTCTGCAGATATTATATTATCAATACAAGGCAAAATCACTTCCACTCTCTCAATACACAACATTATCTGAAACAGAAAAAATAATTGAATAATATACAAATTCAAACTAACTTTTGGGAAATGTATACTTTCGTCTGATGGGGTATCTTTTCATACAAAATATACGAATATATGGGCCCATTGGCAAACATATTGAAGTTTCCCATGAAACATGTCCTTTCCGTAAACTAAATTCCATGGATGATTTTGTGTTTCCACCTCTTCTTTTCCCATCTTTCGATATTGCTCTGACTTTCTCACGGGAAAGAAAGAATATCGGGGTGTTGGATATTAACGTGAGATTCTTCCACAGTGCACGTACACAATACTACAAGGAGCAGGTGAATCAAGTGGTTTCACATCCAAGGTCTTGATATGGTCTAGTGCAGAGCACAACGTAATCTACGCTATCCTGGGCTTGAATTAACGAGTTGAACTTCCGGAAGAAACATGCGGCGACGCCAAGGACGGGGGCAACGAACGAGCACTCTGTTCAGGGATCGAAGGAATGCGCGAATTGGGATTGGGGATTAGTTTGGAACTGTGTGCTTGCCGTGCATTTCAAATTTGAAGGATGAGGATGGCACTTTGGAAGCCCCTAAATCAATTTCCAGTCTTTGTCTCTCCTATGATCCTATACCACATTCCTGTAGTAAGAAATCTCATCATGCAGTGCAGCATATTTCCCTGGAATCTAACAGGAAGAAAAACCTCTTTAGCCCACGAATCAAATCTTCACAAAGGAATTTAATTCTTTACACATGAATTCATTGAAGAAATGACGATGAAACGATAAAAACAGACGACATTATACAAGTTTTAATGATGACTGTCATTGCCAAGACAAGAGTGTGATCATTTCAGGGTAAAATTGAAAAAATGATTCAGCAATAATGGAAGTCACTCGGCAGATCCCTCTCTCAGAATTTCAAATAAAATCCTTGAAAATCCTCCCCCCGCACGCCGTCGGACGCATGAGGGAGAGCCGCGCTATGATCTTCTCAAGTTTTTCATTGTTATCCAGGTAAATTACACCATCCCTGGAGCTTCGAATCGGAAGTCCTGGAACTACACATTCACAGACCAAACGCCGAACACTATGTATGATGTCACGATCAAGGCAATCGTAGCAGATGCGGAATTCCCGGATCTCTGGTCTAATAATTCGACAGCCAGCAGCAAAACTCTGCCGAAAGGTACACGATTCCAGATCGCGTCGTTACCTTTTCCATCTCTCTATCTTTCGCTATATTTAGCGAAATTTAGTCCCATAGTTCACTTTTCATGTTGATCGTGCAGCACCAGACAGGAGTCCAGAAATGCCATTGGGGAGCTTCCATGTAGATCGGATTGATGATGGCTTCAGGAATATTTACCTTTACTGGATCCCTCTGAAAGACTGGGAGCATTATTCCGACAACTTCAGCTATCTGGTGAGACCGCATCCAATATGGTGTACGAAAGTGGATATTTTAGCCTCAGAAGCATCTTCCGAAAGAGGAGATGGCCGTTTTGGGCTGGCTTGTCGAGGAGACAAAAGGGGGGAAAACCCTCCGTTTGTTGATTTCAACTTGATTTGTGAACCACCCTAGCACATGTTCTCCGGATTGAGAGAGAACAGTACATTTTACCCTCTTCCAAAATAAACCTTTCCATTACACGGAGGAGAGGTTGGAATGAATGAATACTTTTGTTCGTGTCCTGCAGGTAGAGGGTCGGGAAATCCAAACAAACGAAGTGGTCCAGCCAAATATGGTGAAGTACGCGTCTGCCGTCTTCGGGAACCTAAGCACGGAGTCTGCCTATAATTTCTCCATCGTTTCCAGTAACGAAATGGGAAAATCTCCTCTACTGTCCATCATTGAAGTTTATGAGGAAACGAACCGTGAGAGTCCTTCGGCTTCTATTCTTGGAAGAGTCATCATGATTTTCATTAGGTAACTGTGAACTGAGCATATTAATATCCCCTCGGAAATAGGAATTCCTTGCCCTACGATCCATAGAGACAGCCCAACGAATGACGGGAGATACTTGCTGGAATGGAAGGCATCCGAAGAACGGAAAATAGAGAATTTCACCGTGTTTTGGTGCCGTTCCCCGACTCCCTGGCCCGTCTGTGATACGGGCATCGACTGGGAGGTCGTTTCCAAGGACAAAACCACTTTCGAGTGGAAGTCAGTCGAACCTCTCAAATTTGCTGTGTCGGCCAATGGAGAATCCGGACACAGTGGACTGTGCTGGGAGAGGGCCAAGGTCGAGCGAGAATTAGGTGAATCATTTTTCACTATGCAACCATAAGATGGAAAAATAAAATGAGATAAAACTGAAGTGGGTAAATATTAACAGCAGATTCAGCTCAGATCAAAACCTAATAAATGCCATTCCTCCGCATCCAATCCATTTTATCTGCAAACTCCCCTGCTTGTATTCCTGTAATAGCACTAAAAAGTGGTGACTGGCACTCATCGAATCATTTCAAAATGGATCCCTGAGAAAAGTGATATTTTGCTATGGAACCTCTTCGAGTGATACAGGTATAAAATCTGAAGCTTATGGACTCAAAACTCATCTTCTTCATATGAAAAAAACTGGGAACTAACATGACTGAAATTGACTTCAGTTTGCCTATTCAACTAACTACTTTTGCTCTCAGTATATTATAAATATAGTCTGACATGTATCCTAATTGGCTTTTATTGATTAAGATCGTTTATGCTCAAAAGGAAATAAGAGTATTACAGGCATGCCTTTAAAGTGTTCAAATATGCTTTTATTCACCCGGAAAGAATCATACACGACAGAAAGTTTACTGCAAGCCTATGTTGGACTTCGCTTGATGCTTCCTTTTTAAACGGACGATAGGTGACCCAACCCAATTAGGATATCATGTTGTTATATTTTTCATCAAACATAAGTGGCATATATATGTGCCGATTTCAATGGCTTTAACTTTCTCAGACTCAAGGGTCTGAGAAAGTTAAAGAAAATATAATATACGCTTGGTAAGGTGTGGCAGTTTTTTTGACGTCACTATCCACAAGAGATTTAACCTAGTTCCACTACAATGCCTCAAAGACTACGTTGCAAACTACGGAGCTCCGATACAGTTCGTCGCAGAGGTCCACAAAAATTCAGAAACTTCAATTCCCGAGGTAAATTGCGTGACAGGCGTACTTTGGGATTCCGATCATATCTTGCCTGTGAATTTCCTGCAGGAAAAAATTACTGCAAACGCGAGATCGTACTGCTCAACGTTCATGAAGCATCAGTTGCCATCATATTTTTACGTGACGACGCTCGGTTTCACTCAGATGAGAAGACGAACTTATGTGTCAGATGAACTTATGTGTCGCCTGGACCGGAAACTGTGCCTGTGTCCCCCGTGCAGTACGGACTTGACATTTCGTGATGATCACATCTTTCAGTATTTTAAAAAAACCTTCGCCTGAGAGCACTAACCGCATGAAGGTGACAGGCGTGAAATTTGAATTTATTTGGCGCGTCCATAAATTATGTAAATTAATTAAATACTTTAGCATACCTTTATTGGCATTTCCGTATGAACCTCCTCTTTAAGGAGAAATAGCAAGGAAGTTAGGCAAAGGAAGGGTGGAGAACATTTTTAGCCCCAGTAGCAATACTCAACCCCCATATCTCGACCCCCGCTTGCCGTAGAGATCTACGTCCTTAGCTGCTCGCTCTTCTCGCAATAATTCAACCAGAAGTCGAATTTAAATTGAATTCTGAGTTGAATAATCCACCTGTAAATCGTCACCGGGGGATTGTAAGGCTCTGACGAGGGTACTGACGAAAACTTAATCCTCCAAAATATTTGTTTTCTTCCAATGCCAAGAGCGTTGTAGCCACCAATTACTTATCGTAATTGGTTGTACAAATGCACAAGACTATCTATTTCCCTTAGAAAACGATTAGACCTATTTTTTTTAAAAACACATTTCATATTCATGTTATGCTGTGAATAATGTCGTACCACATCGCAGTATAATTTTTACAGAGTACGATACTTTCAAGTGGAATTTAAAAATATTTGTCGACATTTTTCAGATCTGCCTCATATTATAGCTTCCGGTGCGTGTGGAAAATAATTTGGACTTCCCTCTGTAATTACAGAGGGAATTTATCTTAAGTAACCCTCTAATGTTCTTTCCAACCATCATAATCACTGATGTACAAGCGATTCCTTCAATGTCGCACCTGTCAACGAACATGCAATCCTTCACTAAAATTGAAATCTTTACTCTATTTTTCCTTGCAGGTTATGTCCCTGCGTCAATACTGACGATCACCGTCCTGATCATGGTGGCACTATTTGCATCAGCTGCGCTGTGTGGGAAGAGGTTGTACTTAAACTAATTTTCCCTTATATTTTAAGTTTGCTTCCAAATTCCAGCAGCGTTATGGCATACAGAACTTTCCAGGTTATGGAAGCAGTTTCGCAAAATTGGGGATGTCGACATAATACTGCCGCAGGATTTTCTTGACATAACTCAGAAGGTACGACCTGCCCTACAATTCAAGCACGCTTCTATTCCTACAATGAATTTAAAAGCTTATTTATTTGTTCCAGGAGCCTGGCGAACCACCAAATCAAGGTATTCCATACAAATCTGACCGGGGAAACCATGGCATTAATGTGAGTCACTCCTGTTGCAAGCAAATGCAATACGAATGTAAAGGGTGTTTAGTAAAAATGTATCAGGAAAACTAACTGCATAACTTGATACAGTGAGGTTGCATCTGGGCGATGAAGACATTGAGCACGTGTTGACTCGCTCACGAGTGAGGAAATTATACAATGATGTTGACCTTTTTTTGGTCTGAAGTTCCTTGAACTTTATTATTAAGGCAGTACCATTGATCAAATACTTTCATCATAATACATGGACTCTGGTAGTCATTTTTTAAGAAACACCCGATAGGAGGCTGTACCTAGATTAGCTATAGCTCCAGCCGGGTTCGGATAAAAATTCATTTCAATTCATTTCCGTATTCATTTAAAGATTCTTCAAGTTATTCAACAAAAGTGCGAGGAAAATGTAGAGACTGCAACGCTCATATTGCCAACCTCAAGCAAGGTATGTTCAGAAAGCGCAAGCATGCATTACCGATACTAATTGCGAGTCCGATTTACAGAAAAGTCAACTCAATTTCCTTCACGCCCAGACAAACTTGCTGTCAAACTTGGGGAGAGAGGGTATTTTTTTGAGGCAACCACAAAGAGGATGGAGCACGGAATCAAACATCATCGAAGACAATGAAAAAGAATTGTTGCAACCTCTTCTTCGGAGATCAAAACCTGGAACCATCTCAGATATACCATCAACATACCTCAGAGCTGGAATACAGGAAGAGGTGATATTTTCAATGTACCGAGAATTAAGGCAAACATTCTCTTGCTACTGATAAAATGATCATTTGAAAATAATGAATATAACCTTGCAGGAATATACGCCTGGCAGTCCCACAATCAAGACATCAAGCCCGGTTCAGGAATACGAGGAAATGCGATGGCTCTCGGAAAGGCCAAAATATTGGAACGTCCACGAAGGGCAATTGTGCCCCGCAACCAGTCAAGGGAGATGTCTTTACGTCAGCATTGACCACGAGGATGAAGAAGAATCGGCTGACGGAGAATGCGATGAAGATAGTAGGAACTTGGATGATGATTTTGAGAAGTACCTCGTGGATTATGAGAAACTCATGAAACCTCTCGGGATCGTCAAGACGGTGACAGAGAAGGAAATGCTGAACCCTGGTTATGTTAAAGCTAGTGTGTTGTCCGCCCAAGATGAGAAAAACAATTGTTTCATCTTGAACAAAGGACTAGGGATGATTCCCCCAGAAACAAACCAGGAACACGATGAGGAATCTCTGCAAATCAGTCGCATTTTTGAAGGGGAGGCCTCCCCAGCGAGGACCCAGAAAAGTAAAAATAGGCTTGAAAATGCCACAGATGAAAGTAATAAATCTGGGAGTGAACATCAATTGTGTGCAGTAAGTGTGCAGTATTACCTATTGTCTAGGATTTACAGAATAGTTGTAAATCAACACAATTTTATTTAGTGCTGTTTCGATAGGTACTTTTCCAAATGGCGACATATTAGTTTCATGTTCTTCAAATTTCACCTTCGATATTTCGTCATATCTGTGGAAATTTCCATATTTTCGCTCTTATTTGGTGCTATTCCAGTTTTGGATTATTCTAGTCGGTATTCTTCAGGTTCACCTTTGATCCAGGAGATACCCTTCAGCAGATTCCAGTTCAGCAATCATTTCGAACGTTATTGTGTTCTTCCTTTTCCGAACGATTCAATGGTGTCATTGCACAAAATTCCGTTCTACACTCTACTGCAACCGAAAAGAAACAGAGAATAAGAAATGCACAAGGTCAATCCAAATTGATTACAATTTACCAACTCCACTTCCACTTGTTCTAGTCCTTCCCATGTATTTCTCACATTTCCAGCTATGGTATAGAATGGTACTGCCATGGTGGTCAGGATAAAAATAAATATTATCCACATTATTAAGAGTGCAAATTCTTACGAGACCATATGCATAACATTAGTCCTTTTATTGATAAGAGAACGTTAATATCAAAAATTGGTATGTGCGTGGGCTAGGTGGGGCTCGTGCCCTTCCGTATTAGAAAAAAAAATTGCCAAAACAAGAAGAAAAATCCATGAAATGCAAGCGAACAGTGCCTCAGAGTTGAACTGCCCCATTCGGGAATCTGACAAGGAGAAAGTTATTTTCTTGATCCTCGCTCCTCTTATTTGTATGCACCATTAATTGGTAAACAGTAAGAAACTGCCCCTGTATGCACCATTAATTGGTTAGGCATTCCAGGAGATTAAGGCGCGGTAGAGAAAAAAAGGGGGAAAGGCAACAGGGAAAGAAAAATGGCAGGTTTCCTAGAGCTAAGAGGCTGAGACCCTGTTTGCATCAGCTGCATCTGACCGTACTATGAAATGATTTTAAACATTTTTTCGGTCTGTAATTTCATGAACCTTATTACTAAGGTATTCTTGTTGATCAAATACTTTTCTCATAATGCATGGACTCGGATTAACATTTTTTAATGATACACCCTGTAGGAGGCTGCACCTGAACTTGCTATAACTCCAGCCAGGTTCGAATGAAAATTAATTTCCGCATTAATTTCCAGGCCCTTCAGGTGGTTAAGCAGATGCACGAGGAAGATGAAGAGACGGCTAAGCCCATATTGCCAGCCTCAAGCAGGGTACGTTCGGAAAGCGTGACGTGCATTACCGATGCCAATTGTGAGCCCGATTTGCATAAAAAGCCAACTCGATTTCCTTCTCGACCAGATAAATTCGCTGTCAGACTTGGGGAGAGAAGGATCATCAATTTGCTTGAGGCAACCACAAAGAAGATGGGGAACAGAGTCAAACATCATGGCAGACAATGAAAAAGATGTTGTGCAGTCTCTTATTTGGAGCTCGAAACCTGGATCCGTCTCAGATATACCATCAACATACCACAAAGCTGGAATACAGGAAAAGGTAATATTTTCAATGTACCAAGTATTAGGGCAAACATTCTCTTGCTACTGATAAAATGATCACGTGAAAATTTTGCATATAACCTTGCAGGAATATACTCCGGGCAGTCCCACAACCAAAACATCATGCCCGAGTCAAGAATACAAGGAAATGCGATGGCTCTCGGGAAATCCAGAATATTGGGTCGCCTGCGAAGGACATTTGTGCCCCATACCATGTCAAGGACGAAATCGTTACCTCAGTATTGACCTCGACAAGGCGGCGACAGAGAAAGAAAAGCTGAGCCCCGGTTACGTTAATGCCAGTGTGTTGTCCGCCCAGGACGAAAAAACCAATCGTCTCAGCTTAAACATAGGATTGGGGAAAATTCCCCAGGAAACAAACCAGGAACACGATTAGGAATCTCTGAAAATCAGCCGCATATTCGAAAGGGAGGCCTACTCAGCGAGGACCTGGAAAAATAAAAATGGCTTCGAATGTGCTACAGCTGAACGTAATAACTGCGACTGAAATAATTATTCTAGTATAACCGAGGCACGACACAATGCAGCTCCTAAGGCAACATCCACGGAGAGTTCAATCCTCATATCCCCTTATATTCTCGTTCAAACTTCTCTTTGATGCTTCACTGAGTGTGATGAAATATTTATTGTATGAATGTCTTGTTTTTTTGCTCTGGGAGAAAACTAATCTGGAAGAAGAAGCTTCGTTGCCATCTTTATTATAAAAATGTTTAATATAGATGAATGAGAATACGTGTCTACCTTTATTTTCTGATTGCAAGACCCTACATGCCTTACTTGCACGAGTAAAACTGAGACTTTTTTGTATCTAGTTATACCTGGTACCATATTTATGGCGTGGAGAGGCGGAATCAGTGTCAGTATCACATTAGATATACTCAATCCCAGATAAGAATTTTTCATCTGCAAGGATCGAGCCCCATGCAATAAGAGAAACTTCAACCTGTGAGTGGATAATTCGGCTGGTTGTTTCCAAATGGTCGTCTCTCCATGAATCCTCAGCCAGGAATTTCCCAAAATTCTGAAGAATGTATCTCCACGGTGGGATTCACGGCTCTTCCCAATGGATTCACAAGCCCACGGCCAGGTACAAACTCTATTACGTAGAGTTCCACTTCTCTTTGAGGAAATATTGCTCGAAACCATTCCAATGTCTTGCCTAACACCGATGAAACAGACCCCTCCCACCATCAGGAAATAACACCAATCGAATAAAATAGCACTGTGGATATGACTCTACGTAACGTAAAAACTTCCAATATTCATGAGGTAGTATTCACTTAAGACAGAGGTGAACAACTCAAAAGTCTGTGAGGGCCACTTAGTATTTTTATTCACATACAGTCTGGCTGACCACAGCTGTGGCCAACAGAGCAAGAGCCGTAGTAGCACTTACAACGCCACCAGTCACGGCGGGCTGTATGTAGTGCAGCTCTGACTTATAAGAAGAAACGCGGATGTTGGAACTACTTCGTTTTCTCCCACACCTAATGTAGTGACACTCGAGAGACTTGTTGCACGGCTCCATCGATGGAAAGGCATTGCCTCTATCCATGACTGATGCCTGACACTTTAGATCGATGAGGACCGCATGTGCCGACTGTAGTAAGAGAAACAAAGCCGCGAAGAGGGAAGGGAGAGGATTATTTCTGCACAGAACTGCATGTTCAGGGAAACCAGTATCTATGTACATGGAAGATGACTAAGTACTTTTGTAGGAATGCACATAACGAACGGATGTTGCGGAGTAGTACACGAACGAAATTCGAGGGTTTATCCGGAAGGGTCTCACGAAGTGAGAGAAGTCCACGTGTATAATATCTGAGAGTCTCTTGAAGCGAGGCTCTTCCAGATAAACCCATATGCGTGCCCCCAGATAAAAAAAAATCGTGGAAAAATCATGATGCGAGATTCAAAGGAGAACTGACAGGACTAAGCATCTGCTACTTGTCTACGTCTGACTGCGTCCTATGCGCTAAAAGAAAATCTATATGCCATACTCTATTGACTTCTTCTGGTCCATATTGAAAATCATGGGATGGAAGACTTTCCCATCTTGTCGTGAAGTCTGGCAGCAGCTTGATAGAAAGAGGGAAGGTTAAGTTAAGAAGGTTAAGGCATGTTTCACGCTTCCTTTCTTCTAACCGAATTACGCGGTAACTTTCTGGAAGGTACAGAAGAGAAAAAAAAGGCAGATAAGAAGGCATTCGACATCTGTTCTACGCCGTAAGTACTAATTATCCATGGTCTAGGATCTGCAACATAGTTGTAAATGAAGTAATGCGAAAACCAATTTTTCTATGGCATTCCCTTTCCTCAAGCTCAACCCCCCCCCATTCTCTACGGGCCTCACTAACATTAGGTTTAGGCCTATACTGTTTCTGAATCGAATTCGTACCCCCCCTATTGTCTATTGTGGAGAACGGGGAAAACAAGATTTCTAGAAGATCTGCTAGATGTCAAGCCTATTGCCCCGCACGGTAGCTGGATCGTTGGTGATAATTCCGCTTTTGGGATGACCACAGAGAAGAAAATACGCTTTCATTCTTTGGCAATAAAATGAAGTCAATAACAAGAACAACTATGAAAGGAAATTCTCCAGTTCTTGAATGTTCTTGGAATGATGGTATCCCATCTCCGAACATCACTGCATGTTCTTGAACATCGTCTGAGCAAAGACAACTGAAGCTTGCAGGCCCCTCAGCAGGAAGAGACTTTGTGAATCATGACTTCTTGCGGCAATTATCATAACATTTCAGGTTATTTACGAATAATTGTCATCCCAAAACATTGGATATACTGTAGGCCTATATCTGGATATACTGAGGGTTGGGCACTAAATGTAACTAGAGAATACCAACCCAGATACAGATCTGCTATTCCACTGGCCCTTGCACACCTCAACTACTTCGCCGTATTCTAACAATCCAACCTCGATATAAATCATAGCTGCCATTGGTATGGCATAGGCCAATATGAAAAGGCCCAAACAACCAGACATGGTCTCGCGTCGCGTGGAGACGGGAGAACGATATGAAGTGTAGGATGCCAGATGTAATGGCCATGTAGGATGCCATTTTAACCCATTGACCCCAGGAACCGTAATATTACGTTTTTAAACCCATAGTGTTCTGGAGTCGCTGGGCGTGAATGTGTTAAGCGTACGCCTAGCAACCCTGTCTACGCGGCTGGGAGCAGCCACTCTCCCCCATTGTATTCTATGGATCAGTCATCCGCGAGGGCTGAAAGGGAAGTGGATGTTTTAGCATAGAGTAGAGAGCGTAACTGGAGGCGACACTCCAAGGGGTAGGGGGGGGGTTGAAATATTTCAGAGACATCTGGTAGCTTGTTATCAACAACACTTCCATGAGGCGTGCTTCCTGGCAGCAGAATCGGAAATCGACTCGTTCGGGGATTCGACCCAAAGGGATCCCTCACAGAGTGTATAGACCTACAGATGTCTCTGGAGAGGCCTTTCCTTCCTCGAGACTTTCGTGTTGTGCTTTCGCCATCTTGGCGAATAGCGTGATTGGTTGGGTCCCGGCGTGGAGACCCCCAGGCATATAGCTCGGGGAAAGTTGCCTCTTTTGCCCTACTCCTCTCCATGTGTCTGCTACGAACACCTTGCTCGTGCGACTTCAGTAAGATGGCGGTCGCGCCTGGAAGGGTGCAGCGCCTCGCGCCCTAGGGGAGGCCCCTCCATTATACACTCTCTATGGATCCCTCAACGTGGCACACGTGTCTCGTTGAGTCCGCTGTTCGGCCATGGAGGAGTTGTTGATGTGCGCACGCTAGGTGGAGAGCTGACAGTGACATCTAAATAGCGACCCTGTCAATGAATGGGGTTCGAGCGGAGTGGAAGCCTCTAGTCAGGGCCGCCCAGAGGTTTCCAGGGGCCCGGGGCAAAACTAAACCGGAGACTCCTCGGGGGCCCCCTTGAAGCCGTTTGGAGGCCCTCCTTGGGACCCCTTGATATGAGGGGCCCGGGGCAGATTGCTCCAATCACCCCCCCCCCCCCCCCCCCCCCCCCCCCCCCCGAACGGCTTCAAGGGGGCCCCCGAGGAGTCTCCGGTTTAGTTTTGCCCCGGGCCCCTGGAAACCTCTGGGCGGCCCTGACTAGAGGCTTCCACTCCGCTCGAACCCCATTCATTGACAGGGTCGCTATTAAGATGTCACTGTCAACTCTCCACCTAGCGTGCGCACATCAACAACTCCTCCATGGCCGAACAGCGGACTCAACGAGACACGTGTGCCACGTTGAGGGATCTGTGATGAAGGCAGTGTTGAGAGGCACGACGGAATGTCCTGGGTTCGGTGGTGTAATGGTAGCACACCTGACCGGCGGAAAGTTGCACATTCAAAGTGGGTTGTGTTGTCCGGTTGCTATGGATACTGCGGACCGACGGAATGAAAAAGTGACAGACCGATCGCAATATCTGCCATTTTCCTGTAGTGCCTATGGGAATGGCAGATAATGTAAGTAAGGTAGTACGTACGGTTAGCAAGGGTTCAGAACGACCCAGGGTCCACGCGATCGATATTAAGTGAAAAGGGATCAAACGGAATTAGTTTACACTTCACTTTCATATGACATGAAGGAAAAGGCGAACTCATGACTAGCAATGGCAAGAAAATAGGCAGATATAAAATACGAGCTATATATTCCAATAGAGGTCACCAGGCTTGCATAAGAGAAAGAAGCGTTTTCCGCGAATTAAATAAAGCGTGCAAGAGAGCTTGCTAGGTAGGCTCTCTTGCAGGTCTATTGTAAAAGCAATGAAAGCTTATACGAGTGAAAGGAGTCGACCTTGGGTAAAGAAAAGAACATGACACTTAAAAGGGTGAGAGTGAAGATCCTTCAAACTGTGTCTCGATATCACTCAGCACAGTCACCATAAAAATTATCAATGAAATATTTTGAACTTAGAACATACTCCATGGTTCCCAGTCTGACGTCAGACCCCTTCTGACCAATGCAATGGCCTCACATATCACATCTTGAAACTGCAGGTTGACAGCTTTAACCCTTGAAGCCGAATGCAGCCTTTGCCTCTTCTCCTTGGACTGTAGAGGTAAAACGGTATCAGGGTCCTGCTATGGTCAGACCGTTTTTCTGCATATGTCGACCTACACCTTCAATTCAATCACTACCCTGTTTTGATAATAATAATAATAAATGTGGGAAATGAAGAAAACCAAGCACTTCCTGTAAGATCAGACATAACATTGCTCCAGTGCGTTATCCTCTGACGCTCTACCCTCAGAGTCACTACCTGTTCCGACGCTGAAGTGGTAGGATAAGAGAGCGTTCATTATCAGGTGTCTCAGAAAGTGTATTCAACATTGGATATATCATTTCTGTTCTTCCTTCCTTCTCCTATCTGTCGACGGTAAGTGCGTTTTCCTTTTCCTTCCTTCCTTCTACCCCACT